GGTTTTGAAGAGGCAATTAAAAAAAAAAAGTTTTTGCAAGAACTCTGCAGACCTTCCAAAAATGGCCCATTTTTTAAAAAAGGGACATGAATAGCCTTTAGGAGGCTTGTAAAGTGCTCCTGGGGGGGAAAAATCAGCAAAAACCGGCCCACTTTTTGTCAAAAAAAGGGCATGCGTAGCCTTTAGGAGGCTTGTAAAGTGCTCCTGGGGGGAAAAAATCAGCAAAAACCGGCCCACTTTTTGTCAAAAAAAGGGCATGCGTAGCCTTTAGGAGGCTTATAGAGTGGTCCTGGGGGCTGGGGAGGCAAAATTGGGCAAAAAACCTGGCCCATTTTTCACTCATTTCTGCCCTCCCCAGTCTCCAGGAGCACTCTGCAAGGCTCTTAAAGGATATGTACGGCCATTTTGATGAAGGGAGTGGGGCTTTGGTAGGTAAAAAATCCTGTATTTAGTGTATAAGATGCACCCAGATTTTCAGCCTCTGGTATGGTAGATATTTTTGGAGAAAAGGTGTTGGCATGTTATCCTTTCCATCTGAAATTTGGCATGAGAAATAAGGCAGATGTGATTGCAAGTAGGGGAAATGCTAACAGCTGAAGTTTTGATAAAATTGCACATAATTTTAATTATCAGAAACATTTGCAAAAAGCATTGATCTCGGTCTTCAGTTTCCTTGCATTCTGGAGGGAGAAACGCAGTTTGTTTACCTGGATTTGTTACCTTAGGATAGATAATAGCAGAAATATTTTAATCCATACTTCTATTAACCAAAGTCATTTCTTTATTCTGAAAGATTTATTCTTAATTTTTTTTGTTTCATTAGGGTAGGGAGTGATCATGTTACATGATGTTGTGTTTTGCGCAATAAATTTTCATTATAGTAGTGAATAATTACATGAAAAAAATAAAAGCTTAACAGCTTTTGATGTCCTAGTCATGTTTATTTCTAGGTTTTTGTTTCATCGCTTCAGCTTTTCTTTCTTTTTTCTTTCTGATGCCTTTAATCAATGTTCCCAAAAGGAGAATATAGGCTCCCTCCTCCTCCCCAAAAAGTAGAACAAGTGCAAAGAGATCTCTTGGACACCATTCAAATTTCATATATAAATGTGACCCCTTGGAAATTTGCTTTAGAATGCAGTGGTCTGAAGATTTTTGGGGGGATATTCTCCTAATTTGAACTTTTTGGATAGCTACATGAAACTCTGTTTATGACCCTGGATTCCCTTAATCTGGAGTAGAATCAAGGCAACTGGATGTATCTGAGCATTTACTGGGTGGCTGCCCTTACTGACACCTACCTGGATTTCACAGCAGTTTTTTTTTCTTTGCGCCTAGGAGGGAAATATCTACTGCTACCTAAACTCTCAACCTTTCAAGTGGGAGGTGAGCGTCTTCACCACTAGGCCACCACACTGTCTTATTTGGATAGCTACGTTAGCTAAATCCAGTAACTTCTCTCTTGTTTAACCAGCAATTCTCTCTTTCTGGTTCTGCACAGTTGCTGCCCTCTAAAAGATGCACTACTACCGGTATCCTTCTGCTGAAATCAGCTGTTGGTATAAATATCTCCTCTTCAGCTACAACATCATCTTCTGGGTAAGTCCCAAGTCTGTGTGTGTGTTTGACCTTGGCCACTGAGAAAATAAAGACTCACCCACATTCAGCCTGCCTCCTTATGATTTCATTAAGGTGCTGATTTCATTTTCTCAGCCATGGTTGACCTTGCTTTCTTGTGAGATCATCCACAGGAAGTTCTGAACCGAAGAAGTTTATTGGATGAGAAGCAAAATGTTTTCAAGGGAAAAAAAAAAACTTCTAGCTGGTGTCTTATCCAAGTATGAAGCATCTCTGACTCTCATTTACTTCTGGAACCAGAAAAGGTCAACCATCTGAAGCCCCTATTCAGATGCTTCACCATTACAATGTATGATTTCCGGTATATTTTGGCCCTGCATATTTTTTTTAATCTATAGCTTGTTCCTAGTAAATAAATAAGCGAATAGGATCTTGTGCTCAGTTTTTATAGTATAGACTTTGAATCTTATTGTGGCATGTTAAACATTAACAACTTTTTAAAGTTGAACTTGATTCCAAGTGATTCATACATTTGTTATTTTTTATTTAAAAAATCCCAGTCTTTCTTACAACTCTGGTATTTCCATGTACTAAGCAGAGCTGGCTCCGCTTAGCTTTTTTGGAATCATCTGAGGTTGGTCAACTGTGTTACTACGTTTCCATGATACATATCTGAACTTGCAAGAACATTGTTCTGAAATCATATTATTATTGCTGTCATTATTCTGCAAACACGGAAAGAGATGCACTCAGCCAAGAAATAACTCGTGCCACAGTCCTAGCTAGCAGTCTTCTTCATGAATATAAATGCTTCACAGATTGCATTGAATTTTCCTTCTTTTTTAAGGTGGTTGCAGAAATATCATCTTTGGTGACAGCTCTCTTGGGTCCATCGAAATAATTTCCTAAGGTGCAGTTAAGAAGATAGTAGTGTTTTGGAGATGTTAGCCGTAGATTCTAATTAATAATATTTTGTTAAATGTAATTAATGGCAAAGATGGCCGCAATTGTGAAAAGGCTTGCCATTCTACATTAGACTACAACGTAGAATAACTTTATCGTCATTTTGATTCAGAGTATTAGCCAGAATATAGAAATACGACTGTTAATGGAGAGATCTTTTTCTTATGTAATAGACCTATGCAATTAAAGGTCAATATCCCTAGGAAAGTACCTAGGTAGTTCCTTGACTTACAACCATTTGTTTAGTGACTGTTTGAAGATACAATGGAACTAAAAAAGTGACTTTTGATCGTTTTCACACCTATGACCATTGCAACATCCCCATGGTCACGTGATCAAAATTTGGCAACTGGCATGTACTTTGACCGTTGCATTGTCTCTATGTGATCGCCCTTCATAACCCTTTGTAGCCAACTTCCAACAAGCAGAATTGATGCAGAAAGCAAGGTTGGCTTAACAGCCACCCAATTTTACTTAATGACGGCTGCAAAAAGGTCATAAAATAGGGCAAAACTCAACTGAACAGTTGCCTTGCTTAACAATGGAAATTTTTGGCTCCTGATTGTGGTCGTAAGTTGGGGGCTCCCTGCAATGGGAATGGTTTGTTTAAAAGATGGGCAACCTTGTGAGACAAGATGCCTTTTTGTTTCTGTTGGCCTCCTGCATCTGTAAATTTGAATTTCAGGGGCAGCATTATTGAAAATCAGCAGCCAAAGGTTCTCGTTTTGAGACAGGAAATTCACAAAAGCTAGCCGGTGCCCTAAAATAGATTTAAAAGCAGTTTAGAAAGCCCATACTTCCATTGTAAACAGGGAGGAAGGAGATGACCGGAAACTATGTGTGGCATAGCTTTCTATATGGCATTCCCTCCAGACGGTCAGCGCTTCGGAAGAATTTTACTGATATATAATCCAGATCTGATATTCCTGGGAGCAAAATTAGGCAGTCCTGGAGCTCATACATCAAAAGGAGATCTCTTATGACAGTCTCAGTGTTAGTTTTATGGCATGTTTTCTTGGCTAACCTTGGCCAACCTTAGCTTTTTTAGGATAGCACAACAGCTGCCGAGGACAAAGAGAAGCATGCACTTTCCAAGGAAAGATAAAGCTCTTTAGAAGAGTTGCGGACAGGTGTTAAATTTGAGTGTGTCTCGAAGGCATTTTTGGGAATCACCACTGAAGTGTTGTGCATACTGTAAGCACCCTGCGGCCATTAAATCATGTTTCTACATCAGGGTTATGAGTTCTGCCAGCTTCTTTCCTGACTTCCACTAAGGAAATGACAATTCTTAAGAGAATCTCTGCTGATTTGTTTTGTTGACTGACAGAGTCCTCATGAAGCTGGAGTCCAGCAGATCAGGAACCTCCAATACNAGGACATCATTAATATCTCTTGTACATGTAATCCTAGATTTTATGACCACAATTTGAGCCAAAATTTCTGTTGATAAATGAGACAGTTGTTAAGTGAGGTTTTGCCCCATTGTCAGGGTTGCAAATAGCATCCAGAAGTAAATCAAATTCCAAGGCAAAGCATTCAAAGTTCCAATTCATTAAGAGAGCCATGTTGGCACATCTGGGAAAACCCAAATCCGAAAGCTTCCCAGTTTTCCCCACGCAGTTGAAAGTTCAAGATCTTGCCCCCACACCCACAAGTCCATCATATGGTCCAATCTTTCACTGCCATGCTGGCAGTTCCACCCATCCAGTTCCAGTCAGGTGGAGAGGTGCAAAGACAAAGGATGATCTTGGCTTTCTAGAAAGGAATTTTATTTTGGCTACATAGCATCTTAACTCCGCACAATCCCCCCTCCCATTTTCCCACAGTAGAAAATGCATAGTAGAATAATATAGCTAGAAAGTGTGGCAGGCCAAAAATCCAAAAGAAAAGATGGCTGCAAGCCTGACAGGCGGCCTCCCCTCAGAAGAAAAGCATATCCTGTGACGAGAATAATGTAGATGGTTAACATAAGCATAACTAATCACCTCTTCCCCATTGGTGGGGGGGGGCTTTGGCTTATTGGGAAATTGATCAGGGAATTGTTTTACTAACTTGTCACCTTTTACATTCCAACTTTTCATCCATGTAGCTTCAGATAAAGGGTTCAGATACTGTATCTCTTTGCTGCATGACAGATCTGGCCAGATTGGGGGTAATGGTGGAGGAAGGGGAGAGGAACAGTCTTCTCTCCACAAAGATTGATTGTATCCCATTCCAGGTTTTTAATTTCCCAATCTAGCATCCTGAGAAATCTAGTGTCTCTGAGGCACCTCTCATTTGCAGGAGGAGGAGGAGGGCAGCGTATATGAAAGCCTCTGAGTAAAAGGAAAGAAAGCTGCACTTTTTGAGCAGCGCTTTTCGGCAGGTTCCAAGCGCGGCTTTCTTTCCCAGTTACTCAGAGGATTTTGTATATGCTGCTCTTGCCCGCCTCCTGCAAGCGAGAGGTACCTCAGAGACTTGGTGGGCCGCTGAGGGGAGACAATAGCCACAATGACTTCACTCCCCAGCAATGTGAGGAGCCGCCACCGTCTAAGCCCTCCTGGGAGCGGAAACCCCGAGAGGCAGCCCCGAAAACAAAATGTCTCCTTTCTAGCCACCATGATCTCTGCACGCCCACTTCACCTGCCCCTTTTCGGGCAGTTCCAGGCAGCAGAGATCACGGTAACAGCGTTTTCAGGTGGCAGCACGGCAGTTTCGGCCACCTGTAACCACCCGAGAAGGGGCAGGTGAAGCGGATGTTGTGTAAGGCAAGCTGCTGCTCAGTCTCCCCCTTCTCCAGACAACCCAGGCGTAGGGCGGTTGGCTTCTGCTCCTGGCCTGGGAGACAGATCTGGCAAGGACAAAAAAGAAGGTGGAGAAGGAGGAGAAGGGCGTGCTCTTTTTCCTTCCTATTCAAAAAATGGGACATGCAGAATCAGCCTACGACCAAGACAGCAAAGGTGCAGGGGTTTGCTGGCAATGGGACATGGATCTGGCCAGGAAGAATGCATACCCCATTTTTGCAATCCAGGAGGAAAAAGACTGTTTCAGGTGAGGGGTGGTTCCAAACTGCGGGAATCGCGGCGCGGCCTAGAACCGCCTGCCACCTGAAATGTTCTTTTCCCTCCCTGATTTTAAAAACTGAGTGTGCATTCCTCCTGGCCGGATCCGTCTCCCAGGCCAGGAGCAGAAGCTGTCTGCCCTCCACCTGGGTTATCTGGAGAAGCGAGAGGGGCCAGCCACCTTGCCTTATGCCTCCTGCACTGTGTCTGCTTCACCTGCCCCTTTTCCAGATGACCCAGGCAGCTACATTCGAAGTATAAGACACATCCAGATTTTCACTGTTAGTAGTTCAGATTCTTGTAGAGAACTAGCATGAAATAAACTTGTATCCATTTGAACAGTGACATTTCAGTGTGTATGTTTCTTACTATAAAGGTATTTTTCAATTTGCAACTATTTGTTCAGTGACTTGGAAATTAACAGTGGCAGTGAAAAAAAAGTGACTTATGAACTTGCACTTATGACAGATAAAGCATCTCTGCAACCACGTGATTAAAATTTGGGTGCTTGGCAATCTGCATGTATCAATAATGATGGCATCCTGGGGTCATATGATCATCATTTACAACCTTCCCAGACAGTTGCCAATAGATAAGAAAGATAACTAGAAAGTGATCAAGCTGAGCCTGAAGGAGCGGTCAAGCATGTCATTGAGTCCTTTTGTGCTCATAAGAGATATAAGTCCAGCTCACCTTGAATTCCATTGACTCTTACCTACCGCCAATTTGCTTTGACTGTTAGTTGTTCAGATTCTTGTAGAGAATGTTTAGCATGCAACAAACTTGCATTCATTTGAACCATCTTGACTCCTGATTTCCTGCACTTCACGTTAACTCTGTGTTTCCCAATAACATCACCACTCAATGTGATTCATGACGAATCCTAATTTAAAATAAAAATGCACAGGAATTAAGGCAAGAAATATGCTGAACCTTAAAAGCAAAGTCATAAAAATTCCTGATCTTTCACACATGCCTGGAAGCTGTTGCGTATGTGTTGCAGACAATTTATTTATT